ATTTCTCAGCATCTGTTGTAATTAGCATGCAGGCACAGAATCTTTTTTACTTAAATGAAAAAAGGGAGTCTCTAGTACAGGCCCATCAAACCGATTTGTTGGTCTGATTTTAATCAAAGGCATAAGGCAATGCTCTAATTTTAAAATCTGTGGTGCAAGCTTATAGTAACTGTTTGTGCTTACATGCTTAGATAATATAAAGTCTAGATTTTACCTACTAAACAGTTTAGTACAGTTTTTAGACCTCAGTCTTCCTTAGTACTCTTACGTGTGACCTGATTTTTAACTTCTCATGCTGGCAATTAAAAAAAAACAAACCCTTACATCTTGCAGTTAAAATGCAATAAAAATTCAATTATATTACGCCTTGGATTTTTCTTGTAACCCTCATATTAAAATTTGTGTTCAGAATTAAAGGAATTAAAGTCAATATCTTTACCAATTAGTTATGGGGAACATAAATGAAGACAAAAAAATGAACTGTGAAATACACATGCAGATAGAGTGCTTTCATATTATTATACAACATAATCAGTAAATCTGGTACTAATGAGACACAAGACTTAAATGTGAAGAATGCATTTAGTGAATTATTGTCAATCAATGTCTATATACCAGGATAACAATAATCTTGAATGGCAACACTCCTATTATTATAAATTCCTAACTAAGTACTTCATTACTTCAAAATGTCACTCTTAATTTACAGAGTAACAGATAAACATCTCCATACTGTATATTTGGTTTGTGTCTACTTCTATGCAACTGAAACACTGACCATTTTTCTAAAATTCATTCATCGCTTACATTTTGTTTTGTCTGAAGTAGTGTTTCATGGCAGCTCACAAGTCTATTTTTAAGACTGCTTTTCAAACTGAGTATTTGGCTCTTTTAATAGATACGCATATAAACAAATCGAATGATTTTTGTTTTCTATCTGTGACTTTAAAATACAGAGAGTTGATACTTAACATTTCACATTAATTTAGTATTATGCCACTAAAAAAAAAAACAAAAACCTGTTACTTATAATCTAAACACGGGACTTGACGATGACAGACGTATCCAATACGAACAAATTGCAGGGATCTAAATAGATAAAGCAGACTATTTTTCCCTCCTGTGATGACAAGACGACACTAAAACACAAAGTAACAAACTTTACCAGCTTCAAAACTTTAGTTTATCTTTGCATTTGCCATCCTCCTCAGTCCATTGGGTGTTTGTAGTAACTTTCAACTCTCACCTCATCCTTTATGTCTTCCTGCTGCTGGGCACTGAAGATCTCCATTGCAGCCATCAGTCTCATCATTAGCTCATCCACTGTTGTGTTACCTAGCAACAAAGGAAGATAGCTGAACTTCATATTATTAAAGTTATTAAAAAATGGAAAGTCATCCTAGAATTAATCCATAAGGAATAACGAGAATTTAAAATATGGCAGATTAGAAAATGCTAATATCTCATTAGATTGTTTTTAATTTGCCTTTTATTGAAGTTTTTCAATGTTTTAAAATGTTCCACCAGCAAATCTTGACTAGTGCAAACGCAGGCTGAAATTTTAAGTTCTCCAAACATGAGTATCTATTTTTGTGCTAACTGGTTATGCCTTTTAACTTCTTCAACTGATATTTTCATCACTGATGAGAGAAAAGGATGGTGTCTGAGACTCTCTCTCTCTCTCTTTGTCACACACACACACTTTACATTTTTGGGTAGATCTAAATATTTTCCTAGTTAGGGTAATTACAAGCTTCACCATTAAGCTTCTATCCATGACCTGATTTCAGAAAGTACAAGAATGAAATCTGGGGAAAACCAGTATTTTGAATGCATACAAGCAATCCACTTATATAATCAAAATGTTTTTTTCTTACAGTTATGACTAGTCTTTAGCAGGAGCTGCTTATTTTTTCTTCAGTGTATTTACTCCTTATGAAAACTTAAGAGTTTTAATAGTATTATAAACTTATTTGAGGAGGGAGTTAGATTAGCATCTTAAAGTTTATAAAGCTATTAGCAAAAAGAAAAAAGAAAAGAAAACAAAGAAAGAAAGAAAAAAGAAAGGAAAAACTAAAAAGAATAAAATTTATACTCCAATTAATTGGAATAATTTGGAATATTTTATAATTATTCTTATTACTCATTATGCCTCCAATACAACAAATTAAGCACATTTAAATTTTTAAGAAAACAAGTACCACTGACTTAAATGGGATAACTCACTGTGACTTAAAGTTACATACGCATTTAAGTACTTTGTCAAAGTGGAGTCTATAAGGCAGAGTAAATTATTTATTGAATTATTTGTGTGGAATAAACACTAGAACTAATGAAGCAGAGATCTATTTAACTGTTTTTTGTCTTCAGTGGAGATAAACTATGTACTACTTGGCAGAAAACTTGGATTTGGAAGTCAGATCTCTTGAATGGGAAGGGTCACACAGATAAAAAGGAAAATTTCTGGCCAAATGAAGCTGCACTGGAGATTTTTTAAACAGGAACAGTTCATCTGTCCACTTTGCCAAAGGAAGAGATAATGAGAGTGTCCAGTGGCTGCCCAGACAAACATCTCTCTATTTACGCAAAGCAGCAGTAACTGTTCAAAAAACCCATAAGAGAACTAGAATGAACAGAACTAGATATAGACAGCTTCACAAAAGCACTTAAAGGGAAAAAGAAATAATAAAAAGGATAACAGTCCTAATCTGATGCGTTTTAATTTGTGGAGGTATTGAAGACAGTCCAAGAGTCCCATCTCACAAACCTTCCTCATCAGAGTAGCTTGAGAATCAGGATCTGTTTGGTAATATTTCTCATTGGCCCAGCTACGTAGTCAGGAGGGATGTTAGATTAGTTTGCAGGAAAAAAGTGCCCATTTTCAGGTGTGGGAAAGAAGCAGATACAGCCTATTCCAGGGGTTGTCAACCAGGGGTATGTGTACCCCTCGGGGTACTTTGAAAGGTCCCAGGAGGTATGTGCAGGAGGGGAAAGGGGGGCGGGCAGGGACGGAGCGCTGCTGCCTCAAGGGAGCAGGGCCGGGTAGGGGCGAGAACAGCAGTGCCCTTTTGCGGGCTGCACAGGTGCCACGCTGCTGCCGCTCGTCATCCCCGTCCTCCCCCCATTCACCATCTGGCCATGCACCCCGCCCCCAGGGTACACTTATTAAAAAGGGGGCCACTGGGGGTACACTTAGGAAAAAAGGTTGAAAACCCCTGGCCTATACTGTATACGAATTGGAACAATTACTTTTGTTTAACCCCATTTTGTAAAAGGAAAAAATGGCCATTCTCCTTTTTAATGGTCTCATTCCTTCACATAACTGTATACCTATTTCAACTGTTTTTTCACTTGGTCTGTGACTACCTCTGTTACACTCTCTTTATCCCAAAGATTTACTTCCCATTTTCCTTCTTAAGTGACCACTTCCATTTCCCCATGAGGCTCAACATGGAGTTCTACCTTAGGCTGCACCTCGGTGAATCTCAACCAAGGTGCCGGGGCACCCTGGGGTGCTGTGAGACCCTTTGAAGAGTGCCATGAGGTGGGAGGAGATAAACCAGGTGGAGGAGATAAGCAGACAAGTGTAGGCTCTGGCCCCTCTGCAAGGAGGTAAGCACTGTCATAAATAAGTTGGCTTTTAAAATGGGTTGCCTCTCAATTCACAAAAGTTACGGAGTGTACCTTGAGTTTAAAAAGGTTGAGAACCACTGCTGTGTCCACTTCTGACCCAGACCTAAGGAAGACTACTTTGTGCCCAAAAGCTCGTGTAACATCCCTTGCATAATATCCCTGCAGGAGACCTACGCTTGTTTTAACACTCCTTAAAACTACAGGTGAGATCCAAGGAAGTTCAGCACTTTTGAAAACACTAGTAATGGGTTTAGCTCCCCTGTTAGACATCTTAACTCAAATAATTTGTGTTAGTCATTTTTATTTAAAAGAACAAGCCTAAACTATGATCGTTATTACAATTATGACTATTTAAACATTTTGTTTCATTAAACATATATTTAGCGAGACAGTTATTTTCATTTCTGTAACATATTAATCTGTCACCACGGAAGTTATTTTTTGAAAAAAATCTAAGAGCAAAGATAGAAACTAAGAGCTGATAGTAAAGACGTCTTCTGCCAGTTTCAGCCGCAAAATAAGAAATGCCCTCAATATAAATCAAGAATTATACCTTGTATTACATTCAACACCTCATTAGATGATCGTTTCCCCATAATAATAAGGAAAAGCGGAAACTGATCTGTCTTCTGAGTTCGAATTGTTTGGGCCACAACACTACCGAAGTGTCTAGTGCACATTGTCAGAAACCTAAAAGTACAGAAAAACAATATAAATGTACATTGCAGTGCCTTTAAAAACCCAGTGCAACCTAAAGAAACCGTTCGGATAATAAATTATACACATCTCTTCCCTTAAAAAATAGTGAAATGTGCCCATTTACTTGAGTACAATTTACTGCTTAAAAACTAGGCTGCTATATTCAATTGTAGAGTATTTTATCCCTCCAAACTTAATCACAAAAAGCACGCTTACAAATAGGAGATACACCAGATGGGAGGCATTACAATACATTCTAACTGGCAGACAGTGACTTATTTGATGAAGAAATTCCATTTTTCTGCTCATCATCTAGTAAACTGTGCTGCAAACAATACAAAGGAAGGAAAACCCCCCACAATAAAAAAAACTTCTCACAAAGTAGGTTTAACAGAAACCAGTTAGGTATAGTACTATGAATGAAGTATAACATTGCTATGACTCATATAAAAACCATAATGATGATTAGTTAATAATGTCACGTTAATAATGAAAGATTAGCAAAATATTTTCATCAGTCATAACATTCAAGATCTGTACTTTAGAACTGTATTTTCTTTTGGAGTAGTACCCCCTCCAGTTTCTTACTTAGCAGTGTAGTCTAAAAACAATAATTCTAAGCTTTTGACCAAAAAAAGCTCTTAGATATTAGCATACAGAAGTCTAGCATTAGTATTCTTAACACGATCTTGAATAAATGAAAAAACTGATAAAGCTTTTCTCTTCCATTAGAGGACTGTTTGAAATTAGCATTTCTTTCAAGAGAAAAGGGTAGCTTATGATATGTTTTCAGATCTGATGGTAAAAAGTAAATGTCATAATAATAATGAATTATGAAAGACCAAATGCAAATACAGAATGCTTTAATAAGATCCAATTTAATAAAGTCTGTAAAAATAATGGACTTTTAATAACACAGGTCACAAAAGGCAAAACAGTGGAAATTCTGAGGACTAGCCACTGGTACAGGCTTATTAATTCTTAATTATGTTCATGAAAGGCAACTTAAATCGTGTGTTTTCTTATGCCTTATGATAATATTTTAGGTAACAACTGCTCTGAAATGTATGCTCTAACTGATGAGCAAAGTCCTGTTGTCACACGCATTAGGAGGCAAATCTATTTGAAAGGATAAACTGCATTAGAATGTCATGTGCTCAGAATCACTTGATATCAAAATCCAAAACAAATTCAAAACATTTCATTTGAAAATCAATATATTTCTAGCTAATAAAATCATCCAGAAATTGGGTTAGAAACTGAGAAGGCCCATGATTACAAAACTGGGCTTGAGAGATTAGGGACTTTCCCAAAGTATGAAAAAAAAAAAACTTAGACATAACTTCTGCTATAACATATCCATAATATGAAGGGCATCCTGTAGCTTGGCAGTAATAAGCAGGATGTGACTATTAAACATTTTAAGTCACAAAAACATATTTCTGGTGGAGAAATGCAATTGCCCTTTTATTATCCAGGTTTTCTACTTTATTGCATTCCAGCATTACCACGGGGATACAGAAAAAACTACTTGTTAGAAACCACGTTAAAATTGTCAGACTAAGTCACAGAACGCATGTACCCAAACCGGACAAAATTTACTGTTTTCACACTACTGGATTATGTGAGTATTGTGAATTGGATGTCTTCTACAATCATCAGCCAAATAGATCAATAATCTGAACAGTACCATTTCCGATTTCTGATGAATGCTGGAGAGCTGAAATACTACATCAGACTCTGATACCATGTTACCAGAATGGTATTTGCTAACTGAAAGGAGCTCAGTTAAGATTAACATAAACCCTCAAGGGCTGCAGGGATTGATTAATTAGAAATAACTAAAGCTGAAGACATATAGTTCATTAAGATATAGCAAAGGGGACCGGAGAACACTGAGGAGAGGAATTTTTGAAGTGTGGGATTCCCGAAACGAAATCCTGACTCCACAGAAGTCAATGGCAAGGCCCTGGGACAAACTGGCTTCATGGGATCAGGACTGAACTCCCCAAGGGACAGGCCAGTAGTAAGGAGCTGAAATCAAGAAAATAGAAATTGAAGTTGTCATGGACATCTTCCTGACAGGGACTTATATTACGAATCTTGAGCACTTTCCTAATTAATGTAATTTCACTACAAAAGGCATAGAAATTTATAGAACACAAGAAGAAAATATACTATAGAAACTGGCTTAAAGGTAGTTGGACTTGATACGCCACTAGTCCTTTTACATGCTTACCTGCAGCAACTTAATGGTTCTTTATCCATTCCACATCAAAGCAAGAGACACAAAATATACGCCTGGCTATTTTTCATGCAGGTATGCTATATATCGATTACAGAAGTGAGTTTTGTATACATAGGATCCTGAATGATGTGGATACTTTAGTGAATTAAAATATTTCTCAAATAGTTTGAAGCTTTTCCAGGGGAGAAATACACATTGTGTAAAGCTCCCTAACATTATCCAGCATTACAGGTCATGACTCTTGGGGTCTCTGCTCCTGGAGGATCATAGTAGGAAATGTTTGTTAAAGAAATGTAAAAGCTCTAAAAATGCGGATTTCAAAAAAGGGACGTCTTGCGCTGGCTCTTAAAATGAAATGTCAGCTTCTAGTACCACCGCTTGCTTGTTGGGAAGTGAAACAGTTCCTCTGCCCACATCATTGCTCCCATTTATTTGAATAATAAAGTGGTGCAACTACAGAACTTTAGGGTGTGGAGACAGATGGATAATGAACTGAAGATAAGCGTCTTCCGAGAACAATTACGATTAAGCAACTTTCTTCTCTAATGGTACACACCAAAATAGATCCCCAGTCTTACAAACAGATCCCTCCTTGATTTCTTTACTAAATAACTTAAAATGGAATAAAAAGAAGAAAAAGTTGAAGCTAAGTGGAACATAACACTGCATAAGAGGCACTGCTCTTTTATCCAAACCCTCAAATTGTATAATGCTGTCTATACTAAGGAGCACTCACCCACAGAAGCATAACCTAGTTAATGATTTTGAATTACTTGGTTAACAGTCACTCTCTCACACGTATTTCTTTTATTTTACTACGGGGAGAAGTTAAAATTTCTTCAGTTCAATTGATCCTTTTATACTGCTAGCCCTTCATATGTCTTTTAATTTGAGCTAGTATTAATTCAATTTTTTTTTCTATTTTCTTTCCTTTTAGACTTCACTAATTCATTGTTTTCACAGTTGACTTTTCTCTCTTTTTCATTTCCAGCAGAAATCTTTAGCCTTGGATTTCAGCAGTCCATTATGAAGCCACACTGTCCACTTCTGCATTTATACTCAAAGAAGTACTGCTATCTGTTGGGCCTTACAGCTTCTTTTCAATTTCATAGGCTTTTTCCACATATAATATTTCCTCCTAATTCACCAGATTCTGATTTCTTAATTCCTCTAAATATGAGGTTTCCCTCAATTACTTCCCTTCCATTTGTAGAACAAGATCCTTCAACTGATATGTGGGTAGCAGAAATCCTCCTAAGAATCTGGTGCGTTGTGGTTAAGAACACCATAGATGCTTGCCCAGAAGTAATTAATTTTCATTTTCCCTTAGGTCAGACTGTAGCAGATCTGCACTGTCAAACTTCTTTGCTTTTAATTCTGTCTATTCCTAACTCAAAGAAGTCACTTCATTACCAAATCCTATTTCACTGCCACTATAAATAATTTTCTCATATACCACTGCCCTCTTCCTCCCTCTTCTCTGCTATTTAGATAAAACAAAATACTCCAAACTGCTACGTAGGGGCCGTGTCTACACATGCATTTAATTGCGTAGTAAACCAATTAGCTTCAGAGTAAAGCATCACTGTCTACATGTGCAACAGTATTAAACCACAGTAAACTAATTAATGCCGCTGTAAGATAGTACTGTTGAGGACAGTACTATCGTACAGAAGGGTAATTAACTGCAATTAAACACATGTAGACGCTGCACCTGGGAGTAGTTTACTAAGGCTGTGCAAAGCTTCAGTAGCCGATTCAATTCGGAGGAGATTCGGCCCGATTCGGGGGCCAAATTTCCAAATCCAAATTGAATCAGGGTCCCCATTACAAGGTCTGAATTGAATCAGAAGCCTCCAAATCGATTTGGAGATTTGGGTGGTCCCTGCTCACAGCCACAGGGAGCTGGACCCGGGCTCCATGCCCATAGGTAAGAGGCAGGGGGGCTGGAGGAGTGAGGAGGGGACCATGGGGGGGAACCTCGCCCGGCCCCATCCCCTGCCGGTTCCCCCAGCCCTCAGCCCCAGCATCTGGGCACTTAAAAAATAAAAATAAAAAGCCCGACACTCACCAGCTGCAGCAGCAGTGATCAGGGCCTCTAGGGGCTCGTGGCAGAGACCCCCCTGGCACAGGGCAGGGATCCCCCTCTCCTGCCTGGCATCCACATAGCAGCTGTCACATCACAGAGGGTGTGGCTCCAGCAGTCATCTGGAGTCCGGTAGCGCTCAACCCAAGTGGCCCTAGCTTTCGGACAGGGCACAGAGGCCCACGGTGTCCTGCTGTGCCACACTGCACCTGCACGATGCAACAGCTGCTGCACAGGTGCCAGGCAGGAGGGACCTATCCCCACTGCCCCATGCTGCATGGGGGGGCTCTGTCATGAGCCCCCAGAAGCCCCAATCACCACTGCTACAGCCGGCGAGTGCGGGGCTTTTTTTTTTTTTAAATCTGCCAGGGTGCTGCAGCTGGGTGAGGCAGCCATGGGAGGGGCTCGGGGAGCGGGCAGGGGTTGGGACCCCACTCACCGCCACCACACCCCTGCCGCCAAGACTGCCCGTTCGATTCAGAGGAGATTCAGCCTGATTCGGTGGCCAAATCTCCAAATCCAAAATCGGCCAAATCGAATCAAGACAATGATTCGAATCACTGAATCAAATCACTGTCCCTCTGAACCAGCCGAATCTGAAGCCGAATCAAATACTTGCTGCTTCACACAGGCCTATAGTTTACTCCAGTTCAAACT